GAAGAAACATTATAATAACAATAAGATCAGAATCAACAAAGTAGGAAACAGACAATGCAGGAAAAAAAAAAAAAAACCCACTAAACTAAAAAGCTGGTTCTTTGAAAAGAAACAATTGAACACACATCACCAGTATCGTCAAGAAATGAGAGGTGACCAACACAAACCCTACAGGGATTAAAAAACAATAAGAAAATCTGTAACAAATTTATACCAACAAATTCAACAACTTACATGAAATGGAATAGTTCCTTAAAAACTACAACTTACCAAAATGGACTCACGTTTTAATAGAAAATCTGAATAGAATTATATCAATAAAGCAGCTGAATTAGTAATTAAAATTATTTACACAAGGAAAAGTCCAAACACAAATGGCTTCCCTGTTTAATCTTCTTGAACATTGAGTAAGAAATAATACCAACCCTATAAATCTCTTTCAGAAAATAATGGAGGTGGGGGACAGTTCCCCACTTATTTTGTAGGTCTAGTATTACCCTGGTATTAAGACAAAGGTATTATGTGAAAAGAAAATTACAGATCAACATCTCCCACTCACATAGATCAAGCAAGATTTCAAATCAAATGCTATGGTGTATAAAATAGTACAGCATAATCAAAAAACGTTTATTCCAGAAATCCAAGGTTGATTTAACATTCAATAACTAGTATAATTTTCCATATTAACAGAATGCAGGAGAAAAACCATATGATCGTTTCAATAGATGCAGAAAGAGCATTTGAGAGCAAACCATGAATTCTCAAATTGATGAAAGGCGTTTTTGAAAAACCTGGAGCCAACCTTATACTTCACGGTGAAAAACTTAATTGTTTTTCCATGAGATTGGCAGCAAGGCAGTCACCTTTTCCATTCAACAGACAATGTACTGAAGAACCTACTTCTTGTAACATGACAATATAAAGAAATAAATGGCAGAAAAATGAAAATGAGAGAAGTAAAACTGTTCTTGTTTACAGGCTATGTGATTGTTTATGTAGAAAATCTCAGGTAGTCTACAAAAAATCCAGTACTACCAGAGCTAATATATAAATTTAGCAAGGTCAGAAGATACAAGATCAGTATCAAAAATCAATATATTATCATATACTAGTGTCACATAATTGGAAAATATTTAAGGAACAATTGCATTTATAATGATATTAAAAGCCTTAAAAACCTAGGAATAAATCTTTAAAAAAAAGTATGCTCAAGATTCCTATAACAAAAATTACTGAGATATTTTGAAAAGAAATTTTTGAAAAAGATCTAAAGACCTAATGAAGAGATACAGTCTGTCCATAGATCCGAAGACTCAATGTTGCTTAGTGTGCAGTTCTTCCCACATTGACTTACAGATTTAAGCACAATTCTAATAAAAATTGAACTAGGTTTTTCTGCAGAGAATGACAAGCTAATTATACAATTTGTGTAGACATTCAAGGGACTAAATTCAAATAACTAAAGCATTTTTTTCCCCAAAAGGACAACTTTTGGAGCACTTACCTGATTTCTTGACTTACTACAAAGCTATAGTAATCAAGACTGTGGTACTGGCAAAAGATAGACATAGATTAATGAAACAGAATAGAGAGTACAGAAATAGACTCTGTATATGTGTTATGTGTTTTTTAAATATACAACTGATTTTAAACCATAGTGGCAAAGCAATTCATTTAGGAAAGAAAACATTTTTTCAACAAATGGTGCTGAATCAACTGGATATCTGTATAAAAGCAAAAATAATGCTAGAGTTGATTTGTAATTTTACTCCATTATCTGTTTATTGTAGTATCTTTATAGTGATGATCTCTTTTTTTATTGTTGTTTTTGGTGACTCTCTCTCTTTCCCATTTTCTACTTAAAATTGTCATTTTCTCTTCACTTCTTTGGGTTCAATTTGTTGTTATTTTCTTAACTTACAAAGATGGATACTTAGCTTTTGATATTCATGCTTCATATTTCCCATTGTGTATGTTTGACTATAAATTTCCTTTTAGCTGCATCCCTCAAGTTTTCGTGTGCATTTTGATTATATTTACATTTTATTTATTCAAAATTATTTTAAATTTCTATTATGATTTATTACCTTAGTTTTCTTGATTAGCCAATTTTTGACTATTTAATTTGATTGAGAATTATTTAAAATTCTACTTCCCCTTTCCTGGCAGTTATATACTCACTCTTTTAGTGTTTTTGGTGGTTTAATGTCATCTGGAGATGACGGCCTTCATTCTTAACTCATCGAGGGCCCATGTTAATTGGTACTTTTACACTCTTCAACCCCTAATTTCTTTAAGCAAAGTTCCTCTTCTATATTCAGTATCTATGAATTCTCATCCATGCAGTTGTGGGTCTGGCTCAATCTGTTTTGGTTGTTTCTGCTCTCATTCATGCTGCTTGTCTTCTGTGTCCCTGGAGATCCAAGACTATAATCTCATCATTTCATCTTGTTCTGTGGGATTCCTGAGGGCCTGCAGGCGGGATGCTTTCCTCCAGAAACTGCTGTGTCTGCCTCTGCTGGATGCCAGGGAATAATTTTGGTGCATTTCAAGGATCTTAGCTCAGTATGAGAAATCTTCGTGGAGCCTACAACCTCACAAGCATTCACACCTCCTCTGACTTCAGGGCTTGATCAGCCTCGAGCTTCACGCAGTTCCATTCTGTGCCACTCAAGTCTTACAGCTCCTAGACAGCTGCAGGAAACATTTTCATGGGGAGAGATTCCTTGGAAAGCCATACATTGTCTTGCTAATCTGGAATGTGTTAAAAGTGTGTTTTATCTAGGGTCCATTTGTTTGGCTGAAGAAGGGACTCTTAGACCTCCTAGTTTATCATTTTGAAAGAAGTGGTAGCAATGATTTATGGTCTTGGCTTATTTCAGTGGGACAAGGATATCAGGTCATTGCTGAATCAGCATTTCTGTGACAGACTAATGATGTTTCACATCCTGACTTATGCTACACGATCATCTTTTCACTGTATAAGCTGATGAAGGAGACAAGTAATGGGTATAATCTTCAACTGTACGTAAACTTTGCATACTGTAAAATACACATTGTATACCTACAGTGTTAGGCTTGATAGACAGGGATGTGCTAGATAATTACTTCATTTTGTAAAAGAGTGTATTTGTAGTTTCTTCATATTTTGACTTTTTTTTAAAAAAATTAAGAGATCAGTTATTTTGAGCTGAGTTATTAGGTGCAATATTCAAGTTTTTTGAAGATTTTACTTTATTTTGTCTTCTTACACTACATAACTCGGACCGTGATATTTAGGATAATTATATGACACTAAATATGTAAATATAAATGTCTATAGGTACACATCAAGTTGTGCACACCATACTCTGTGTGTGTGTGAGGCATATACACATAGAACCATCCCTATTTGACATTTGGCAGAACATTTTAATCTGGTTTAGGCCTCTGATTTTTCTTTCAACTGATGATGTCAAACAAAGCAAAAGGTATAGCTACATTCAACATTTTTTCAGTTTTAAAGTTTCATTTAATAAAATTTGGATTATGATATATTTTTCATTCTTTAACAGTGGGTGATTTTACCCCCCAGGGAACATTGGTTCTTAATGGGGTGATTTTACTCCCCCAGAGAGAGGACAGTGGCTGTGTCTGGAGACATCTTTGGCCGTCACGCTGGTGGTGGTGAGGTGCCACTGGCATCGAGTGTGGCCAGGCCAGGGCTGCTGTGCAGCGTCTTACAATGCACGGGCCAGCCCCAGAGCAGAGAACGATCTGGCTCTAAATTAGCAGGGCCAGGGTGAGAAACCCTGCTCTGAAGTGATTCTCCTTATAAAAGCAAACTTGATGGAGAATTGTGATTAAAGACCCAACATTTGGGCTCCATGGCTTTTAAATGAAGGTCAGCTACCAACTTACACACAGATTGAGATTCTTAAGCTTACTTTAAACAAGGACAAGCTGGCCGGGCACAGTGGCTCACGCCTGTCATCTCAGTACTTTGGGAGGCCGAGGCAGGCAGATCACCTGAGGTCAGGAGTTCAAGACCAGCCTGGCCAACATGGCGAAACCCCATCTCTACTAAAAATATAAAAATAAGCCAGGTGTGGTGGTGGGCGCCTGTAATCCCAGCTACTCGGGAGGCCGAGGCAGGAGAATCGTTTGAACCCAGAAGGTGGAGGTTGCAGTGAACCGAGATCACGCCACTGCACTCCAGCCTGAGCAATAGAGCAAAACTGTCTCAAAAACAAAAACAAAAAAATTAAAACAATAAAAAAAAAAGCACAGACAAGCTGCTGTTTCCAGTATTTGCAGTCTTTAAGCATGATCGAATCACAGTGAAAAGGCCACACCCACAGAGCTGCTGGGCAGCTGAGCCACCGGTACCTGTTGCCTTCCGGTGACCTCCCACGGTGGCTCGGTCGCCAGCCTCTGGGCGTCCCTGCGCGGGACCTTGGCAGCCTGGGCAGAAGGCTCCTGCGCCCCATCTTCTCTTCTGCTCTTTCCGGCCTTTCCCTGGGTCCAGGTTTCTGAATCTGCCTTGTACTGTGGAAATAGTTACATGTGCCAGTTAAATAGACTTTTCCTTCTTTTCTTTGAAGATTATAAAAACTGCATTAAAAAATTCTTTTAAAATTCTGTGATGTTTAACTTTAAAAAGAAATTGGAAATGCCGCTTACTTGAAAGACCTGTATGGAATGGTATTTCATTATGTGCGATTGAACGGTATCTTTACACAGGTCTTAAAGAGAGTCTTCCATTCGGATTTAAATTTAACATGGACATTAACTCAGATCAATGAGGGATTTCTGCCACTGTTGTTGGACTTTTTCTCCGTGAATCTTCATTGTGCATATATGATAGTAAATTATTTATAGACTGTGTATTTGAGTCTGATCTTTTATAAGAAGCAGGAGTCTGGGCCTACCTTATGTTCACGTCTTTTCAAGACTTTTTTTTTAATCTTGCATATATTTTCTGTTTTATACTGATTCTCATCACACATCCTTTCTTCTAGGCGTTGGCACATCTCCACTTAATAGAATATGTTGGAGAACAAACTGCTTTGCTAATAAAGGTAAAATAAATGCGATAATAGAAGGTACTCCAGCCACTGTTCTTTGATTTTGTGAAAAAAAAAAAAAATTCTGGTAAGAACAGGTCACATTAATTATGTAAAAAGGCACAGCAGGGAACCTGTTCTATCCTGTGCAGCCCAGAGATGAAGGGAGACTTTTTCCAAAGAATATATAATTACAGATGCTTGCTAGTTTGCTTTTAACTTTATTTAAAGCCTGTCTGAGAAGGAACGGCATCGACGCCAGCCTCAGTAAGTGAGTGCTGCAGGCACCCCAGCCTCAGTGGTCTGCCAGGCCATCGGGTCAGTGTGACCAGTGTGCGCAGCCACCACACGTGGACGAGGGGCAGGGTCACTCTGCCTCCCCATCCAGGGGTGGCAGGCCTGGGCATGGCTGGGCGTTGCTGGTGGAAACCCAGCGGAGGCTCCCGGTGTGGGTGGGGCCCTGGCTTGCACACCTGTGTCTGCCTTGGTCTTGTGATGGGTAAGAAGAAGGACTGACACCCTCGGGCCCCTCTGAGTCTCCCGGCTGGTGGGATCTGACCCAAAGTGCATGTGATGGAACACTGCAGCTTCTGTTGTCCTCCTTCCAGATGGTCCCAGAGGAGCAGCGCCTCACGGCCGCCATCGTCCTGGTGGTGTGGGTCTCAGCCCTGGCGTCGTCCCTGATTGACAACATCCCATTCACCGCTACCATGGTGAGTTGCATGTCTTCATGTTGAGGGCTCAGCTTCAGCCTGGACATAGCCTGGGGCTGACCCTCCCTCCCTAAGGCAGCAGAGGATGAAGCCTGCTCTTTTGCTGCACTCACAGATGTAGAGGACAAAAGTGAGCAGAGCTCGGGGCAGCTGGGCGGGGAGCCTCGGCTCCGCAGCCGCTGTGGACGGCACGTCCTGGGGTGACTGGTGGTCTTGGGGTCAACGCCACTGAGAGCTGCCACCCCTCCCAGAAAACGCTGTCTTGTCTTGTCTGTCTGCCTTCCTTCCTTCTTTTCTTTTCGCTTTTCTTTTCTTCTTTTCTTTCTTTCTCTCTCTCTCCTTCCTTCCTTCCTTCCTTCCTTCCTTCCTTCCTTCCTTCCTTCCTTTTTCTTTTCTTTTCTTTCTTTCTCTCTCTCTCCTTCCTTCCTTCCTTCCTTTTTCTTTTCTTTTCTTTTCTTTTCTTTCTCTCTCCCTCCTCCCTTCCCTCCCTCCTTCCTTCCTTCTTTCCTTCTTTCCTTCCTTCCTTCCTTCCCTCCCTCCCTCCTTCCTTCCTTTGAAAATTGTGAGACATCAAAAGACAGAGACTTCCGTCTTCCTTCGCTGCGGATGCAGAAGCTATTCTCACCAGCCCGTGTGTCTCCTAGTGCTTGGCCTGGGCAAGATCTCTCGTTCTCTGTGTGGTCTTGAGCCCCAGCTGGGCCTGGAAGTGCACGTCGTAGACCTTTAGTCGGACAGATGAGCCTGTTTCTGCTGTGACTTCTGCCGGCATCCATTGCTTGGCTCCGGGCAGGAACTGGGAACCCGGGTGTGGCAAAGTAAAGGTAGGCCTAGGGGCTTGCACACAAGTCGCTGGGGTCCTCTCACAAACACTTGAGGTCGTCCCAGGTGTGCAGGGAACAGGCCAGAAGCACGGTGAGCACTCCCCGTGGCAGGACACAGGACAGGGGAGAGACCTCTGTTCTTCTGACTCTGAGGGCCTCCCCGCTCCCCGCAGGGAACAGCCTGTGGGATCCCAAGACGTCCCACCACCCTGTATGGTATTCTGAACAAGGGCACCCCCGGACTGGAGCAGCAGGCCTGGCTGTGTGGGGAAAAGAGCAGGCCGGGCTCGTGCAGCCTTGCAGCCTGGAATTTAGTTTCTGCCTAGGTTGACCCTCTAGTTGCCTGGCTGTTGTTCTCCTTCCAAGGTCTGGGTGTGGTAATCCTGAACGAACTCGGTGGCTGTTGTTATTTTTTGGTGAAGTTCCACAGTGGAGAAGTCTTGTGGCTGTGGTCAAATGTCCCAGCTGTGGCCCAGCCGCCTCCGCCTCTCCCGGCGCCCCAGGCAGGCGGACGCCTTCTGACAGGGCTGCCCTTACCCGTCCTCAGCTGCGGCTTGTGCGTTCATCCTGTTCTCCAGGGAAACACAGTTTGCAGAGAGTCCGCACTGTCCCAGCCAGCGAGGCCACAGACGCGGCCCGAGCACAGGACCCCGCACAGCCTCCATCAGTGCTTGCTTCTGGCCCCGTGCTCACAGCTCAACCCCGCCTTCCGGGGAGCTCTGAGGTTTGGACCCAGATCCTTTCTGGACTGAATTTGAAGAGTCCTAACATTGGTGATTTAGGTTGTTCCTTTTTCTAAGAATAGGACGCTTTCACAGTTTTGTTCCATGAATTTTAGTGACTACTTAAAATTTACCTTAAAAAAATGGAATCAGAGACAATAGTGAGACAAATATCCATGTGTTCACCACCCGAAGTGAGAAGGAATCAACATTTTATCCTCTTTGCCTTGGAATTTCTTGTTTGTTGTATTAAGAAATACAACATTGCAGATAAACAGGCATCTGTCTTCCCCTGGAGCCTCAGGACCATCTCTGCCCTCATGAGTGTGGGTCCCACCTGTCTCTGCAGTGGCCGCTGTGGGGGTGCTGAGGGTAGGATGCTGACTCCTGTGTGTCCACAGGGGCGGAAGCCACGTACAACGTGACCACAGCAGCCACAGGGTGCAGAGGTGGACACGCAGCTCTTCAGAGCCCATGTGTCTCCCCTGAGTGACTGTGCCACGCCAGCATGAGGCATCTGCAGTGGCCACATCATGAGAGGAACATGGGGAGCCACTGGGGTCTGCTCCCTTAGGCTGGAAGTGGCACACGGTGACGGTCACAGTCCTTGGGTGGGAAGGGGACGCGTGGCCCTTCCTTGGAGCAGGGATCTGCAAAATGGGTGGGCATCGAGGTCTCTCCATTTTCCCTCACTCCCTTCTCCTCTCCTTTCCTTTGAGTGTCTTTTTACCACTTTTTTTTAAAGCTGTATTGAAGTCACTGACAAAAATCTGCACCTATTGAATGTGTAAGTTTTCATGAATTTGGACATATGTGTATACCTGTGATACTGTCACCACAATCGAGGTACCGAACGTGTGCATCATCTCCATACATGTGCTTATGTGTATGTATGTGTGCTTCATGGTAAACTTAACACCCGTTTGCCTTCTTAATACACTTTGAAGTGCATAATACCATATTAACGCTAGGCACTGTGTCATACCACGGTCTATGGAACGTACCCGGCTGGGATAACTGAAACTTGACCCATTGAGCAGCCTCTGCCCATCCCCCTCCCTCCACCCTCGACAGCCACCATTCTACTCTCTGCTTCCACGAGCGTGACGATTTTAGATTCTGCACACGATGGAATCAGGCGGTATTGCTCCTTCTGTGACTCGCTTATCTCACAGCATAATGCCCTCTGCATTCATCCATGTTGTCACAAATAGCAGGATTTTCTGCCCTTTTAAGCCCGAATCACCTTTCATTGCATGTATATTCATATACCACATTTTCTTTATCCACATGTCCATCAGTGGACATGCAAGTTTTTCCCGTATCTTGGCTATTCTGAATAATGCTACAGTGAAAATGGGAGTACAGCTGTTTCTTCTTCGAGAGCCTGGTTTCCGTTGCAGGTGGTTAGAGGATACGGTCTATAGGATTTCGTGCTTAGAAATCCCTGAAATACCATCTGACTTACCATGTGGCTGTTTTTCTCCAGCTGCTGCCTAAAAAGCTGGGTGTCAGCTTCTGCACACTGGCTGCTTTGGTCACTCCGTGCTTGGCTTCTGCCTCTGCTGATCCACAGGAGCCAGGATCCTGCCCTAGCTCCTCCCACAGTGGGCTGATGTGTAGGTGGTTATGATTCAAATTCATGAAGGCAGCTCCCTGAGGAGAGGGAAGGATGAAAACAATCCTGGGTCCTGAGGGAGGAAAGGAGCCTCACATTTGTTTATAATATTTTGTTCCTTACAAAATAAGCAAAAAGGAAATCCTGCGGCAAAGAAGATAAAATGTTCAAATGTTCTCAGTATATGTGAGCAGTTAACATACATATAGAATGCTCATAATTAACATACATAAGCATGTCATTGTGTTGTTATCCTCTGTAGATTCACTTATCTCTTTTCAATCTATCTGTTTTGATATAGCAGAGAACTTTTTTAATTAGTTTGTTCCTCCTTGCACTTCAGCACGTTTTTGCATCGTTTACTTTATGATTGTATTAGATGTTAAAGGTTCATTATCTAGTAACTTCACAGTGGCTGATTTCTTTTACCTTGCACGAGGTCTCCATCTCTGCTCTGAGCCTCTGCCAGGTTTATCTTTTTCCAGTCCTTTATTTATTTATTGTTTTTTTTTAAATCCTTTTTCCAACTGCATTTTTAAGCAGAATGCAAGTCGATTTTTAAAATTCAAAGCAGATAATCATTGTCTTTTAAGAAAATAGTTTAACATGTTTACATTTATTGTAATGACTTATCGACTTGAACTAATTACCATCATTTCATTTTTTTAATGCTTTTTCCTTGCTAATTCTTTTCTTTTTTCACGATCATTTCCTGACTTCTTTAGATTGATACATCACGTCTCCCCACCCATCAATTGGTTTCGAAGGCACTGATTTTATTCCTAGTCCTTTAGTGGAAATCATTCTGTTTGTAATGCACATGGTGGTGTCAGCATTTCAAACAACAGTTGCAGTGAACAGAACCTATTTTAGTTAGTTTAAGATGAAAAGGAGTTTATCTAGGGATAGTACATAGTTTTTGGAATTTCTGAGAATTTCTAAACTGCACAATGGGAATGGGGGGCTGCCCACAAGCCCCCAGCTTTTGCAGCTTGGCATGAGTGCTCAGGATCCCTGCCCCCACGCTGGCTACTGAGTCCAGGGACTTCTGTCACCCTGCTCTTGAGTATGCCTTGTCACACCTCTCCTCCAAATTCTCCAGACGGGCCTCTGGAGCAGGTGTGTCTGATTGGAGGAGCCCATGCCTGTTCTAACTGCAATGGAGGTGGCAAAAGTGAGTTTCCGGCTTCTGCCTTGGAGGCCCAGAACTCATAAAACAGAGCTCCAAGGAGGCTTCAAAGCCTTTCTCCATCCCTACCTCAGCGCCTTCTCCTCGATGCTTCTGTGCTTCCCGGTGCAGAGCCTTGCTTGCCCTCTGGGTCCCACAGTACTGTGCACCTACATCCACCGAGTCACTCAACAAGCGGATTGTCAAGAGTGTCTGCAGCCGTCTGCGAACTCCGACCGTTTGTGTCTGTAGCCTCATTCACGAGTGTTATACCTGGCACCAAAAAGATACTTAGCGAGTGTTTGCAGATGAATAGGAAAGTGAACTAACTGCCATAGATTAATTGTCCTGGAGTAACTGTGTGTCGCCTCCTCCCTGGCCTGCCATCCTCTGGTACTGTGTTACTGAGGGAGCTGGACACCCTGTGCTTGCTGCATGTCTCAGAGTCGCAGACCCCACCTGTGCACCTCCCTCCTGCCAGACCACCTGCCACTCGAGACACACCCTCATCTTCAGTGATGTGGTGCCACCTCTCCAGCACGATGCTGGGGCTCTTGGGCCTTCGACAGTGCTGTTCTTTGCCACTGGTAGCAGCTTCCCTCTCAAGTCCCTGCTTCCCTGTCCTGGGAGCCAGCCTCACCAACCCACAGCCCTCTACGTTCCCTGGGTGG